TATTATTTTTTCTTGCTTTTTTTCATTTAATTATTTATTTATTATTAAAAATTAATTTTTTGTTTTACCCAGATTTTTCTTTTATTCATTTTTGCAGCACTATTAAATTCTCTAGAACATTGTCGTAGTCAAAGGTAACTGTTGCTGAATTTTTCAAACACATAAATAAAGCACCATATTTCTTTGTGTGCCTACAGGAATAATTGCCAATATACACATTATTTATATAGCAAAGACCTAGAAAACATACCATAAATTCCCCTCAAGATTTCAACAGCTGTCAGCTTGCAAAGAAAATCAATCGACCCCATCACTCAGCTCACTCAACAGGGTATAAATTGCAACTGATAAGACAGCCGGCGGCGTTATAGCTGCAGCTCTAGCCAAACTGTGCTGTGTGGCAAGCGAATCGCAGCCACGACAAGCAACGGCAAGCTGCAGTTGTTGCCCCAGGCAAGTCGAACATTTTTGAAGTGGGTTTGTGTGTTTTTTAGTTGTTATTTTTATTCTATTTGTGCTTATTTTTTTCACTGCTAACAACAGCTGCAACAATTGTGGCAAATATGGCAAATGGCAATTGAAAAACAAAAGTCTCTCGGGACAGCAACTGAAATCCTTTTCCATGTACTTTCACACTTTATGCGCTTAACAAAGACGCGATGACAAGATGAAAAAGAAACTGCCAAAAAGAGGAGAGGGGGATCACACACACACATACACAGGGGTAACCGCAACGAGGTCAGGAGCATGCACAAGGGTAAAAAAAATGGACAGGCTTGTTAAATAGCGGGAAGGGAGACAAATGGGGGGTTTTTCTAAGAAGCACAAAATTGGCTGTAAAATGAACAAGGCACTGAGAGAGGGCTACGAGCAAAAGAGAAAGACTAGATTTTCACTAAGTCTTATCTTGTGTCTTTCTGTATGTGTGTCTGTGTGGGTGTGTGTGTCTGTGTGCACATTTGAGACAAAGTCAAATGGAAATCTGCATAAAGCCCTTCAGGCTGCATTGATACGAGCAGCGGGCGAGGCATTCGATTACACACACACACACACACACACACACATAGACACACACAGGAACGAAAGATCTGAACGAGCGCCGGGGCAAAGCCATAGAAAAGTTTCCTTTCAATTGCACAAGCAAAACGCGTGCATCCCAAGCAAATGCACACACAAAAAAAAAAAAAAGAAATATATATATACATCTATATATACATCTAAATTTATATACATATATATATACGGATTTGAATGCGCTTTTCAGCTCCTTAAACTTAATAGGATTTTGCTTAACAAAAATAAACTTCAACAAGAGCAAAATATTTGCACGAAAAAAATACAGCAAAGACGGTGCGAGAGAGAGAGAGAATGCGCATAATTGAAATTAATATGCAGCCACATAAATTCCATTTAGAGCTCAACTGCAAGCTGGCTCAATTAGGATTTTTGCAAGCATATATGCTGACACACACACACACACAACACACACTCACACACACATATGCATATTTGTGTGACCCGTTAGCTTTGGTTGCGAACGACTTGCAACGATGCTTGCCAACTTGTGCCATAATTTACACTCTATCGAACGATAACAAACAACCTGCATAATGTATGGCGCTTTATAAACTCCCAACAGCGAATCCAGCAGCGGAGGCGTGGTCAATGGGAGAGTGAGAAAAGGAGGGAGAGCAGGAGAGTGAGCAAGTGGATATCGCTAGATATAAAGGGACGTTTGGCTATTGAAGCACAATGTTGTTATTGAACGATGGGGTCACAAAGTGGCACAAACAGCGCTTGAAGATGTGAGGCAGCGCGTGTGTGCGTGTGTGTGTAGCGCAGAAACTATAAAATACTTGCACACACGCGCTGCTGCATTATCCTTGAATGCCAGCCAAAAGTGCATGAAAAACGCTGTCACTAACAGCTATACAGGTGTGCGTATGTGTGTGAGTGTGTGTGTGTGTGTGTGTTGCAAGGGCACTGCGAGGACAGATCTTGATTGTTGTGTGCATTAATGAAAAGTGAAACAGAATAAATTGGGAAATTGAGATTGAAGTCAAGCTGTTGCTGTAGTTCGAATGTTTATATAATACATAGGTCATATAAAAATACGTATACAATTTTTATATCTATCTTTAAACAGAAGTTGGGTTGACGAATATGAACCAAAATGTTAATAGAATAGTTAATATATCAAAAATATTTATAAAAATTTGAAAAATCTTTTTTGTATATAAATAGAGAAGAATATGAGAGTAGAAGAATATGAAAAATCATCAGAAAAGTTAACTACTAGTTACTAGTATATAATATCAAAAGCTAACCAATACTAAGAGATGAACCTAGTATCTTTTGTAAAACGTCATTAAAT